CTTTCAGAAAATAAAGAAGGAAAGAACACTTCTCAATTCATTTTGATGAAGACAGCATGACCCTGATAGCAAATCCTGACAAAGACATTACAAGCAAATTTTAGACTACCATCCCTCATGAACACAGATGCGAACACCCTTAACAAAATACCAACAAATCAAATCCAGCAATTTTTGTATTTTTAGTAGAGACAAGGTTTCACCATGTTGGCCAGGTTGGTCTCGAACTCCTGACCTCAAGTAATCCACCAACCTCAGCCTCCCAAAGTGCTGGGATTACAGGCATGAGCCACCATGTCCAGCCTGCTGAAGCTCTTTAGCAAAAGGACAACAATAAAAATGTCCGTCACAGCCGGAGCTGCTGTGCTTGCTGGGGAGGGGAAGCACGGCTGCCTTTGCCTGCACTGGCCTCTCCCCTAATTCCTCCATTTCCAAAGGTCACTGGTTTCAAAGGTCTCGGCAAGTCTGTCTTGAGCTCCTCTTTTCCCATCTGTGGGTTTCTAGCTCCTCCTAACAGCAAGAGGAATTTGTCTCTGAAGATTGTCGAAGGTAGTGGCAAGAACCTCACAGAGAGCAATTACCTTGAAGAGCCCTCCCTGGAGAACAGGCTCTTTCTCTCCCAAATTGGAAAATCCTCACATTGTGCCAATTAGTCCAGAGGGCATTGGAACTTTACCAGCCGAAACACTCACAACTCTTAAAGGGAAAGTGAGCAAGGAACAAAAGCAACCGTCAAGGGGCCATGGCAGGAGCCAGGTGGCTTTTAAAGAAAAAGCACAAGGTAAGAACAAGCTGTGACCCTCACAGAACACAATGGAACACAGCGTTAAATCCATCTCAGAAACAGCCATCACCGAATAAAGCTAAATTCAGGATTGTTTTTCTCCCGAGAAAGTATAGATTTCATTGCCAAGTACTACAGCCAACCCCAGTGCCCTGGAGGTGAAATGTCTATTTTGAAAAAGACATAACATCAGAAACATCCTGATGCCCATAAGTAAAGGGATGATATGAACCACTGAAGGTTACTTATTTATTATAGTAACAGAATAGCCCCAGCCTGGACAACATGGAGAGACCCTGTCTCTCTCAAAAATTTAAAAAGTGGCTAGGTGTGGTAGTGTTTGCCTGTAACCCACTACTTGGGAGTTTGGGAGGATGAGGCGGGAGGATCACTTGAGCCCAGGAGGTCAAGGCTGCAACAAGCTGTGATCCTACTCTAGCCTGAGTAACAGAGCAAGACCCTGTCTCAA